AAACCTGTCAATTCTTTGCCATATCGACAGACCGAAGGGCTAGAACCCAAATGGCCGCTGGATCGGAAAAGTAAAGTAAAAGTAAAGTAAGTACTGCAGGCAAAGTGACTGCAAAGTGTTAAAAAACAATCTCGCCCAAAAGTTGTTCTAGAATGTTTTAATTTAGTACAGACTAGGTCAAATTAATATATTCAAAAGAAATTTGTTTGACATAAAGTTAAAATCTGTAAAAAGAAAACTTATTTTCGAAAATGGAAATGGGTTTCGCTTTTAGTATTGACTTGCTAGTTCAGCTGGCTTTTACGGCATCACTCGCTTGTTTTATAGTCCAAACAAAAAATGTGCCAGCCTCAGCAAATTCATCCTATCTATAATCAAACTGTATTTGCTGCGATCATTCATTTCTACTCAATTTGGTGTTTATTTTATGCTAATAGGGGTTGTAGGAAAGTTTGTAATGATGAACACTTGGATGACAAAATTGTCTGCCATACACTAAGAGTTAAAGAAATAACGCACATTAACGCATAATGCACCAATTTAAAACCATGAAAGGATTGATTTAATTTCTTATTTCTTCTACAGTTTAAAGAATTCGCATTTTTTGTGGGATTCCTAGAACCAGTGCTCTGCATATTATATCCTCCTTTGACAGATATGTTTTTAGTCATTCGAAGTGTTCAGTGGTGACCAAATGCAAGGACCCACCAAACCATGAGTGCTTGAAGCCTCTTAGTATGGGTGACTTCTGGAGATAGTAGGGTGCCGGGGTGGGTGGGGTGGGGTGCCCAATAGACAGCATTTTTGGAGGTCACATATTTTGAAAGGTGAAAATGGGCTTTGCCACTGATCCTGATTTCACTGAGGAAATGTTAACGTTTTTTCAAATCTATTTAGGGACACAGCTTGCTATCTTCTGGTCTATCTCAGCCTTGTAATTTGAAAATGGCTCAGTTATATGTTAAGGTCTGCTTTGAGAATGTTGAATGTTAAAGTATAGGAATCTCTGTTCACCTGTAAGACTGCTTAAGCTTGCGTAGTGGAAGCACTACCTAATACGAACTGGTGCCTCGAGCAAAAAAAAAAGGAGACAAGGATGAAAATGGGCTGTTGTTTTTTATGCGCTGTGTAGAAGAAAATGGTTCTGTGGAATTATCTGAAGTATTGGCCAAATTCCCTTCGAATTCCAAAGTTTGAAGCCCGAAGCTTCAGTGTGAAGGAAAATATTTACAATAAAAGTAATATTTTTTTTTATCACCCTTTACTTTCTAATTCTTATGAGAAGTCAGTGAACCGTTGCAGTATTCCTTGCTCCTTTCAGATTTTTCAATGTTGTCGTTGACCTTTTTACAAGCTAGTTTTGTTCCTAGTGTTCAAGCTTCCTGAAAAACCAATCTCAATTGTTCCCTATGCTTTGAAGTAAGTGTGTTCTTTTTAATTCACAGTAAAAAAAATTTTATTAAAGGGTTAAAGAAATGTGAAATGGATGCGGATGGAGAACGCTGCGACACAGATTGGGTTTCTACAAGAATTCCCAGCCATGGTAAAACCAGATAAAAGTTGTTGCCAAGACAGAAATCACTAATCATGTTGCGATTTGATATTTGACAGTGCCAAATTAACCTTAAGAGATTTTTTATTTAAAAACCCCCCTTTTTTTTTTACCTCTTTTCCTCAGCGTAACGACATTGCCACAGCTATCTCTAAGTATGACCAGTTTGACTTTCTCATAGACATTGTGCCCAGGGAAGAACTCAAGCCTAGCAAAAGACAGGTGAGAAATATTTTACAGCTGTTTTTTTTAAACATGATCTTGATATGGCACTGGTACCTGTTGTGTAATGATGAGGCTATTTGCCGTTGCACAGATGAGAAGAGTTTGATTCCCAATTTATCGGTATCTCTTGTCTCCTGAGACGTTGTCCTTCTCAGCCCAGGTTGGCCCTTGCAAGCAGGGTAGAAACAGTTTCCTTATTTAATCTAAATTGTGTTGATAGGGGCATAAACACGTACATTAAATTTACAACTATGGCTTTGTTATTGCAGTCATTCATACTTTTACAGCTACTTGCTCTACTATGAATTTACTGTTAATAAGGCAAAGCAGATTTTGTAGATCAGAGTAACAATAAGTTGTTGTTTTTTTGGTAAGTATTTTGCAGTGCTCGCAACTGCCTAAGGTCATATGAGCGCGCCAGACACATTAAACATTTTCAGTTATTAAGGAATTTTGAATTTTGCCTGGGTGGCGGCCAAAGCCTACTCTTGTAGATTTTGGATTGCCAAGGGATCTTTAAAGTGTGCTATTTGCACTCGGGACCTCAGTGATTTTTCGCCCTCATGAGATGTTGGATCTTTCCTACCATAAGATCGGGGTTGTGGCTGAAAGACAGTAGTAAGAAGGAGCAGTAGAAAAGCTGCAGAAAGAGTCAGGACCCCAGAGGAGGGGGGCAAAGGAGGTGAAGGGGTGGGAGCAGAAAGTGGAGACGAAAGCAGACGACAGAAAATTGTTAGATCGCAGAAAGGAGGTGAAAGGAGAAATTTTTTTTAGAGAAGATAATAGGTCTTATTATGGCACTGGTGTAAGCATGGTCGGAATTTTAAAGTGTTGCAGCAACTGTTGCACGTTACCATTTTGATTGTTTCTTCTGGATATAGGATGACCTCACAAGAACAGGGAACTCCTTACCAGAACAGATCCAGTACTATCTACAGCTAGCACAGCAGCAGTCCCAGCAGAGTCAGCAGCAACAGCAAACACAGCCACAGCAACAGCAGCCAGCCCAACAGGCACAAACACAGGTAAAACGTCTGTGTTGTTCAAGATCTCTTTAAAAAAAATTATTTACTGTCCTTGTTATGGCACTCAACACCCTCATCGAATTAATGCAAAAATTTAACCGAGAACTGTTAGTGCTAGTCAATAGGGCTTGACTTACTATAATTATTAACCCATAAAATGCGGCTTCCATTGCATATAAAGGGTCGGCTGTTGTTTTGCAGTTATGGGTATCAGGTCTTGAATCCCCAACAGGATCATTTTCCTATTTTAAAAAAGAAAAAAGATTTACTCCGTAATGATAAAAAATTTTTAATGGCTGCCAAAACTTGGCAATATGTTTGTCCCCTTTGTTCACTTAGTTGATTAACTTTTTAAGTAACAACAGATGAAGGAAGGTAACTGCGATTGACCAAGACATTCGTTTGTTTAAGGGGGAAAGTTTCATGCTCAAAAAACCCTGGCTGTGATGTTGAGGTCTCATCTGATGATGACAGTGAGGCTGCTGATCCAGAATCTACTGAACTTGATGTTTTCTTTTATTTAGCAGGCAACACAAGTCACTCAGGCTACCCCAGTCTTACATCAGATCCAACCACAGACCGCAGTTCAGCAGCAGGCGACCACAGTAGCGACAGCCCAACAAACAGCTAGTGTGCAGTTGCCAGGTAGGCTGTTTTGCAACTCACTGAGACTGCTTTGGCATGGTTATAATAAAGTTCTTTTGAAAAAATCATCCAATATAAAGAAGAATGCTCTTATATGTAAGAAAAAAAGTGGCTTCTGTTCCAAACACCATTAAGTGGACTGCATAATATGGTGAACATTTCTCTTTACTCCTGGGTTTTCTTTTGTTTTGGTTTATTTATCTTTCAGGTAGTTGGTACTTTTATGTTATTATTCACTTCTGACATTGCAAAATATTGAAATTGAATATTCTGTGGCACGAGACTTAACTTGAAGCTTTTGTGGAACTGGTATATTGTGCAAACAGCAACAAATGCACATGTTAATTTGTTTGTCGAAATTCAGGTATCTATATACATGTATGTTTGAATTTTTTTTTGATCACCCTTTTTTTGTTTCTGTATTTCAGGTGGTCAGATTATACAACAGCCTTTCCAAATCCAGGTATGCTCTCTTTCGTGTACACATACAGATCTGAAAACATTGACTTCAGTTCATGAGGGCTGAATGAAAGAAAAAGGAAGCAAATGAACTGGAAAGGTCAAAGTGAGCTCAGTGGGAATAGTTTTCTTTGGAACAGTTTAAATTGGATTTAAATCACTGGAGACTGGGCCTTTTTTGGGTCTACATGCGCTGGAGACTGGCATTTTTGTCTTTTTTTCAATATTTCAAACAACACCCTTCCCAAAGACATACGACCACCATTTTTACACACATAACAGATTTAAACATGCCCAATAGGACACAGAAAACAGAAAGGCAATATCTTCTGTAGTTTTTTAGAAATTATTTTTTGAAAATGTGCTTAAGCAAATTGCTCGCCAACATTTTTTGGCGTAATGTCTTCTTTAAAAAAAAAACCCAACAAAACACACCCAAAAAAAATCAACCTTCTGTGTGTCTTCTGATGTGTTTTGTGTTTCAAAATGAATAAAAAGTCCAAACTCATGAATAGACAGGTAATCGATATGGTAATCCTAAATGTATTAGCTGTCCACTTCAGTGTGAAAAAAATAACAGGGCTTCAGACAAAGCAGAATTTTGCATTTGAAAGCCTAGTCTAGATCTAGAACATTCTCTATCAGAATCAGTGCTTTGATTCTCATTTACATTGAAATCAGGATCCCCATGGTCTAAAATATCATAATGAGAATTTTCTAAAAGTCGTCGAACACTTGAAAAAATGTTTGCTTTTCTTGCTGCCAAGTGGGTGTTTGGCGGGTGTTCTGGTGTAGTTTGCTCCTTCTTTCCTATCAAACAACTCTCATCCTGATTTCCAATTTGTGTTTGTTACTCTCTTGTCACACCTAATCTTCAGCACTTTTGACCTTATTGTGTTGCAAGTGCTGTAAAACTCTTACTAAAACTAAACGTGCTGCCATCGTACTGACAAAGTGTTTCAAGAACAAGCACCAGTCAAAGAAACGAAAGTAGGGCCTCAGTGTGACTGACTGCCCTTCCAGCTTGACTACTCAAAAAGTTTCCAGCCAACAAAGGTCGGCTGCACTGTAAGAGACGGTTCACGCAGCATTTGCGCACATACTTTAATGAGGCCATGCTGGGTCTCTGGGAAATATTGGTGCTCGCAAATTGTACGTGAAATGTCTTCAGTGAGTTAACAGGATATGAGAATCTGAAATCACAGAGACTTGGGAATGTAGGGAAGTCAATAAGTTAAGCCTGGGAAAATCTTTTGTCATTTTGAGAGCGAGTTGTGCGAACTTTCTGTTGTGATGGAAATGGAAGTATTGATATTGAGTCGAGTCTTTCGATCAGAAAAATGAAAATTTACTTTCCATTTCGTTACCATTCAGAATTCTCAGATGACAGTCTGATTATAGTAATTATTTAATATTGTTATAAATGCTTTTGATTTAACTGTGTGTGAGTATGAAATCTGTTCTTGACCGGTTGTTATCAGGGTCGGCACAGTCCATTCACATTTGTGTCTGATGTAGTAGTCTATGCATCAAAGCAAAGGGTGATGAAGCGCAAGACTTTGGGAGGAATCAAAACAAGGTGATGGAAAAATTTGAGATACAGTACATTCACGAGGCCTGGCTGTCTACATGTCATCCTCCAGTATCATGTCATGTGGTGGACTCCGCTTATACTGACAACTGTTGATTCATAAACAGTGCAAAAGTGAAGGAAAAATAGAATCCCAGATTTTAAAAAAAGTTTGGGTTTTTTTGGTAGTAAATCTTTCAATTAGCCAAAGTGTCCCTATTTCTACATTGAAAAAGAATTTCGAAGGTTATGTCATCTAAATCTTCACTAGCAACCCTCAAATAACGCAAATCTTCAAGTCTAATGCGCTTCAATGGCAAAAACAGAAGAAAGAAGTTTCATAGGTTTTATATTTTACATAGCTGCCACTTTCCCGCTAAATAGCGGAAACTCCGCTCATCTAGCTTTCCCCGCTACTTTCCTCCTTCCTCCACTGGACTGCTCTCGGTTGCAAATTGCGATACTTTTTTACACGCGGAAAACACCGAACCGGGAGAGAGATGAAAACGCAGCTTGCGCATGTCCGTGCGCCCGTAGCATTCTACTTTCGTTCTTCTAGGCCTAGCGCAAGTTTCACTTGTTTTATTGTGGAGCAACAAAGTGTCGATCGGGCATCGGGACGTTAGCACGCCGAGTTGTCATTGAAAACGGCGTAAATTCGAGAGAAATTGATGCAGAATGAAAAAATAAAATGAGCTCCGCTTGCTGCACTTTGCGATTGATGCGATAAAGAAATCGCGGCCCGCGGCACTCCTGTACAATTGCGGTCCCATTTGTTTACATGACGGCTATTGTGGCTGTTGAAGTGAATCTAGATCTAGATCTAGATAATCTATCTCTAGAGTCTAGATATAATCAAGATTTACACATATTTAAATATCTAGATTCTAGATCTAGATTAGATAGCCTAGGCTATAATTTTAATTCAGGTTAGATCTACACACTACAGAGGGACTATTAAGTTGAGTGCAAACGGGACCGCAATTGTACAACGGCAAAGGTGTTGCCTCCTTGATCCAATACTGCGCGCGCTCTACGTCGATGTACAAGTTTAAAGTGAAAGAAATCTTTTTATAAGACACCAGCTTGCAACAAACACTGGATTTTTAGTCACCAAGTCCAAACTGTGTCAAATTGACTCAAATGCTTGTTAGTCTACTTAGTGCCTTTGTTGGGTTTTTTTGTTGTTTTTTGTTGTTGTTTTTTTTTCAAATACATTTTAATTCAGTTGCCTATGGTTAACAAATATGACAGTTTTCCCTTCCAGAACCATAAGCTAGATTTTCCAGTATATATTGCCTCTGGATCTCACTGGTTTTACTCCGGCCTTCGGAGAGCGCACGTTCGCCTTCGCATGAATTTCCTCCTTTTTTGAAATTCCTGAGTGGCTGCTATGATTTTAGAAAGTCGTAGTTTTAGTGTTAGTTTTGTATGGGGTTTTACGGCGCTCGCAGCTGCATAAGGTCATATGAGCGCGCAGAAAGTCGTAACTTTATCTTGTCTCTGCCATACAATATGTGCTCACGAACATTTTACCTTTTCTGTTGTTTTAGCAGGGCTCTCAAGCTCAGGTGATTCAACTTCCTCAACAAGTGTCTCAACAAGTTGTGTCCCCAGTACAAAACACTGTTCTGCAACAGTTACAACAACAACAACAACAGCAGCAGCAACAACAACAACAACAGCAGCAGCAGCAGCAGCAACAGCAACAACAGCAGCAGCAGCAGCAGCAACAGTTACAAGCACAAGCACAGCCTCAGCAGCAACAACAACAACAGCAGCAGCAGCAGCCACAACAGTCTGCTCAGGTGTACCAGCAAGTGATAACAGCTTCAGGACAAGTTGAGACAATCCCGGTAAGTGAAAAATTAAACTTGGGAGAGAGGGTGTGTAGTTGTTGGAGGTTCCTGATTGATAACTGAGTGGGGTGTAGTTGTTGAAGTTCCTGATTGATAATTGAGGGGGGTGTAGTTATTGGAAGTTCCAGATTGATAATTGAGTGGGGTGTACGCTCGTAGATGTTGAAAGTTCCTGATTGATAGCTGAATGGGGTGTAGTTGTTGAAAGTTCCTGATTGATAGTTCAGTGGGGTGTAGTTATTGGAAGTTCCTGATTTATAGTTGAGTGGAGTGTAGTTGTTGGAAGTTCCTGATTGATAATTGAGTGCCTTTTGTTAATTTTTGTTTCGTCAAGAAAAACTGTTCGCCAGAGGTTGAAAGAGACAGATGAGGGTCATCATGGTTGAATGGGGCCCTTGTGAAATTATAGGAAATGGAAAAAGCAATATTTTTCCGACTGTTGGGTGATTTTTATCGATTTTTTTTTTAATCACAGAAATTGTCTCCATCCAATAAAGAACATATTTTAGGGTGAATTGCAATGCAAAATGTTGTATAAAGCTAAAAATATGGTATATATTGTACAGGGAGAACCAGTATTCGGCTTTAGAAGGCTGACATTTTGTTGCTAATTACACCAGTAACATCAGGTAACACCCGGCTTCTTTAATTGCACATATCTCAACTTCTATACAAGATGGTTCAAATGGATCAGTACTTTTTTCACCCAAGTTCAAGAAAAACGAATAAGCTTTAATTTAATAGCAATAATTCCATATATGTCCAAAAACTGATGAGCGCTTGATTCTACCACGCTGCCACACAAATAAGACTGGGGAAATGTCTTTTTCTAAAACACAGGTTGTTTTTTTTTATACTACTGGAGTCATCCAGCAATTCCTCTGAACACTTGTGTGACTTTTCACTTTTTGGTGTCAGTGGGCCAAGGATTTCCCCTTTTTGTGTTATCCTTTTTGAGTCACGGAGCCTATGGTGGTATGAAAGTTTAATGTTAGAGACAGAAAAAGGAGAATTACAAGATGACTTGTATTTTTATAGATCTTTCTTCACCTTTGTTAATGTTTTGCTCATTCTTACTGTTCCATGTATTCTTGTTTTTTTATACAGCAGTGTAGTTGGTGAGCTGGCAGGTGTCGTCTGGTCTTTTTACTTCTGATCTAGATTACTATTGTCCTTGTCTGCTCCTGGTTAAATGGTGATATTGTGGTACTGAGTCTTCATAAACCGTGAATTTTCTCAGCCACATTATTATGATATTTTGTTTGTGACAATATGTTCTCTTTGATTTAATGAGCAGTGGTTGGCGGGTGCTCTAATGTGATTTGCTCTTTCTTTCTGATGAAACATAATGTCCTTATCACTGCTCCTTTTTCTTTTCTTTGTTATTCATTAGGAACACCTGTGTTCTTCAACACTTAATATGACCTATTTGTCTTGCAAGTGCAGTAATACTTTTACTAAAACTAACGGAAAGGCTTAAAAAAGACTAAAAACAATGAATGACTCTTGCTTCACCATATCAATCTTTGTCTTCTGTTCCAGATCCAACTGACCCCACAACAGCTACAGACCATTCAGCTCCAGCTGCAGAACAAGATCGGTGGCCAGCAAATAGTGGTGCAGTCCCCTCAGCAGACAGACCAGACGGCACAGTTCACACAGGCTCAGGTCAGTACAGGTCTGCTGCTGATACAGTGGAGTCTACTTAACCCTATCCGTATGTCTTGGTGTCATTTTGTACCCCAGGGGTTGTATTCTTCACATTTTAGAATACCTCTAGTTATGGAGATCTCTTTAAAACTTTCAGTATTTCTCAAAAAATCATTTTGACAGACTGCTATGCAAAGTGTACGGATTGGATTAATGAGTAAATTTTCCTCTTTGGAAAGTGGTGGCACAGAGTTCCCCACGTTGTATGGACACTATAGTAAAACACAACGCACGGATAGGGTTACATTTTTTAACCCTGACCGCCTGAGGCTACCACGTCCCTCTGCCTGAGCGATACAGCCCAGTATTACTCTCACATTTATATCATCGTCAGAATCACATTCCATATCCCACTTAAGGTAGTCCTCATCATTACCAGCATCTAATTTACAAAGATCTTCAAAATTGTTCGCTTTTAAGGACAAACGGGCTAACCGAGAATTCGGGGGTTTCCAGAAATCTTGACCTACATCAAGAGTGGTTAATGCCCTACCTATAGGAGAAGTTTAGTGTCATTGGTGTGTATATTTGTTTGGTTATAGAGAAAACTCTCCTTGTCTTTTAAAGAAACTGAACAAGGGGCAAAAACTTTACCTTTGATTTTCTCAAAACAGCTTTTTTTGGGATAGCCCCCTTGCGCTTAAAAGTGACCAATTATCAATAACGTCATGTGTAGCAAACACTATTTCCTGTGCGCTGTTTGTCCCAGATGGTTCGGGTTGGGGATAGGGTCTCGCTTACTGCTGTGCTGGTGGCTAGGCATGCGGGCAGTTTTACGTGCCACTAGTGTACTGGTGGCTAGGGTTCAAAGGTTTAAACCAAAAGCTGCGGGAGCACCGGGTTTTCTTTGGTTTCGTCTGGTTTTCCGTTTAGAAAGGCTGCTTAAAAAGAAGAAAAAAAATGGGTTTTAAGAAATTTTCTATCGGTTTACTGCTGTTTTCGGGTTGACAGTGTTCGGTTGAAGTGGGCTTCACTGTATGTATTTTTTTTTTAAACAACCGCTGATGTTTAACTTTCAAACTGTTTCTGCTAATTGTGCCCCTTCCTTCTTGACGTGTGCTGGCCATAATTTCCAACATGTGGAGGAGGGGGTTAGGGGTGTTACAATAACCAAAGTAAAGATAACATTAAATCTGTGTACTTATTGACTTATGAGTAGGCATTGCTAAAATTGTAGATATTTATGTTCTGGTTCAGGCCTTTTTGGGCTTTAACAAATTTGAAGGCAGATTTTTTTCGTTGAACGTTGCCTCCACAATCATACTTTTTTCACTTTTACTTTACTGATCCACTGGCCATCTGAGTTTAACCCTTGTGCTTGCATTCCACAATCATCAAGAATCCATAGCAATCCTTGACAAAATAAATGAATCTATGCCTGGATCTTTATGGGGAATTATTGTAAATCAGAACACAAAATTATGCTAGAATCTTTCTGTCTGTTTTTATTTGGTTTGTCTCTCCTCTTCCCTCCCCCATTCCAGTATCATTGTTACTGTTTGTATAATAGTGTATATGTTTGTTTGTATCTTCTTTTGCAGTGACCATTATTCTGTTGGTTTGTTTCTATTTCACTTAAAGCAGAAAAAAAAAAATCTTCTATAGGCAGTCAACACATAGGCAGTGGCTCAAAACTGTCCCATGACTTTAGAGTAGCCTACCTGACAAAGAAGTCGCCATACAGTGACGAAATGTTAAAAACTTTGTTTTTTCATTGCAGCAAATGTACCAGCTACAGCAAGCGGCAGGCGGTCAACCACAGATCTTTATCCCATCTGGAGATGATCAGGCTGAGGGGACGGCAGACTCTTAGAAACAGAAACTGTTCCATTGACCTGACTGTGTAAGACCCTTGGAGGGAAGAATTTGGAATGGGGAGGTGGACTTCATTTTAACTTCTGTTGTTGTTAAACCGCGGGCTAAAGAGCTGTCGCTTTGAGGATGGCACATTTGTGCAACGATGGTGACCTACTCAAGTGCGCAGTGCAGTACTTTAAGTTGAGGACAATGGACACTTTGTGTGCTGTTCTATTTGAAGTTTAAATGTTGATTAAGTGCCTGGAGACACTTCGACATGCACTATACTGCACTGATAATGATGGACATGGAGAGCAGCAGTGCAGTTGTGGAGAAATCTTGCTTGTATAATTGAACAGATGTTTGAAGAATTTTTACTCTAAAGTTCACTATATAATGGCAAACATACTAGAATTGACAATATCTTCGACATTCATGCCAAAGACTTTATTTCTTTTAAAGTTTGTTTTAGTTTAGTGACAAATGTTTTGTTGTGTTTATAAAATTTCACAAAAAATTTACATCAAGATATTTTTTCATATATATATATATGATAGTTTTGATATAGATCTAGGTAATTGTGTGCCCATTCCATGAAAAATAAAACAGCAGAGACACATGAAACATGGGGTTGATGACCCTGCAGTAAAAACTTATAAATAGGGATTGAGCTGCACTTTTTTTTACAGTGGAAGGTTACCATTGTGGTTGGCATTTTGACTTAAACTGGTTTTAAGGCTGCTCAGTGGTGTGTGTTCCTGGTTTTTTTTGTCGAGCCATTGGCATAGATTGGAGGGTTATTGTTCATCCTACAGTACGTACACTCTTTTCTAAAGAGACTTCGTCAATTTTGAGTGGATTTTATTGAACACTTATTATCATAAAAAAATAACACAAATCCAAAGTATTGTTGTTTTCGTAATATAAAAAGTAGAAAAATAAGAGAAAAAATGCATAAAGCCACATGGATTGGGAATGCTCATTCAGCAAGTGGCTTTGTGGAGTCTTAAATTTGCTCATTTAAGTGCACGTTGAATACGGGATATTTTATTGATGGGTGAGTCGTGAGTCAGTTGAGTGCAAGTTTCTGTGTAATTATTTTTAGGACAAACACTTGATGTCTGTATTTTTAAAATGAGTCTGAGTGAAGAGTTGCAGCACTTTTGCAAGTGTCTGCTTAGCTGTTTATGGATATTGGGGACAGCAGTCATGTGCTTGTCCCATTGATGACAAGTGAATGATCGGTACTCACAACACTCCCAGTTTCAACTGCTTATCTAGGAGCTGTCCCATTTTCTAATTGGTTGCTTTTAAGCACAAGGGGGCTATCCCGAAAAATGCTGTTTTGAGAAAATCGAAGGTAAAGTTTTTGCCTCTTATTCAGTTTCTTTAAAAGACTGGGATAGTTTTCTCTATAACCAGACAAATATACACACCAACGAAATCAAACTTTTACATGTAGGGCAATGCCCACTTTTGGTATTGGTCAAGATTTCTGGAAATCCCCGAAATCTGGGTTAGCCCGCTTGTCCTTAAAAACGAACAATTCTTCTTCAGAAGTGTAATTTTACTGGATGGCAGGACTGTTCGAAATCTCCTCCCCCCCGCGCCCCCTATTAAAATAATTATTTGAGAGAAATACATACACTGTGCCCCACTGACCCACCTGTCTCTGTAACAGTGACTTTTGCCATGTCATTTTGGATTTTGATATACGCAGATGGGCCGTGTGCCCGACACATCTGGGAAAAGATGTATTACCAGTTGCTGCAAGCTGTTTTAGTTTGTTTAGTTTGAAGCAGAATTGTGCCTATTATTAATATCTCTGTTTATAGAGTCATACCGAGCATTGAAGATTTTAGTTTTCATCCAAGAGATTGCTGTCAGAATGTTTAGGGGTGTGCGATGTCTGAATTTGTTGTTGGTTAAGATGCCCTTGCCACCTAGTGAAAGACAGAGGATTCCAGTAGACCTCTGTGGAGAACTAGAGAATGGAAGGATGAAAAAAATATGTATCACAGAGCGCAGTGGAATCAGGCGCTCGTCAATTTTTGGGCATGTGGAATTGCTATCATCTTAAAGCTTTTATTCATTTATTTTGCCTTCAATGAAAAAAACCTACACCATTTATCTTGATTAGAAGTGGAAATATTTGCAACTGAAGGAGGTGGAGGTTGCCTTGGTTCGGAGGTTAAATTAGCAAGAAAATGGCCAGCAAAGTTTGATTATTTCCAAAGCTTCAGAGCTTGTGATAACTGTAAATGTACTTTTTTTTTTCAGCCTTTAATCAACGTTTTTAATTAAATCCACCCAGAAATGTGTTATCTAATGGACATAAAAGATGTTGAACACCAAAAAAAAAAATCAGATAATAATTGCCAAACTGGCGGTAAAATGGTACAACATCAGTTTCTTCAATTTCATTACTGGTATTTTGACGAGCGCCTGATTTCACCATGCTGCTTCACATATAAGAACACCTGCATTGCAAGAGTAGCAGCGTGGGACATAATTTGTTTCATTGCTACCGGCGATTTCTGACATACACTTTGTCCCAGTCAGCCGTATGTTCAATCATGAATAAAGTATACATTGCACAGACAATGGACATACACTTTGGCCCAGTCAGCCGTATGTTCAATCATAAATAACAATGTATACATTGCACAAACTGTGGTCATATTGTCTGATTTGATGGAACAGGGTTTACTACTTATTTCAGTCTCCTGTCACTGTCGGGCATACTTGGGTTGTGGTAAAACATTGACAATAAGCCAACGACACTTGGATATGATGATGTACAGTGGAGTCCGTTTAAACCGAAATTTGCAGGACCGCTGAATTTTCTACGGTTTAGCCGTGTTGTTTTGGTTCAGAGAGATTGCTCAAATTGCATAGAAAAAAACTAGGGATTCTATTTTCCTTTGGTTTACCGCTGTTTTGGGATTAAATGTGTTCTGTTTTAAGCGGATTCCTATGTAATTATTTTTGTATTTTTAATGTACAGTTTCATTGATATTTTCAACTGCTTTGTTGTTCATGTTACCAAATCTACCCCAACTGTATAATTTTTCCCTGAATGAAATATTCCATGAAATAAATACGTATATTAAATTATGTCATGTTTCACCTGGTTTATGAGTTTTCTTGATGTTCAGATATTTTTGTTAAGTTGTACATCATTGAAGTTTCTAAATTTGGTTGAGTGAAGGACATATGCAAGGTCTTTTTTCTTTGTAATGTAGGTGTTTTTATGTTTATGCTCCATTGACAGAATGCGGGTGGTTGGCGGGTGCTCTGGTGTGGTTTGCTCCTTTTTTCCTATCAAACATCTGTCGTCCTTTTCTCCCCTCCTTTTATTTTGTGTTTGTTACTTTCTTGTAACATCTCTATTCTTCGGCACTTATATATGACCTTATTGTGTTGCAAGTGCCGTAAAACTCTTACTAAAACTAAAAATCGACAGAATTTAGATCATTAAGGAGGTTGACTTCTGACTCTGCCTGCCAAAGCTAACCCGGGTTGAGAGGGATACAGTATCCGAGCAGAAAGAAAGACCGAAATGCTCAATGATATTAATTTCCTCCCCACTCAGGTACTGAACTCCGATCGCCTGTGTGAAAGGTCTTTGGTGTAGTCAGCTATCCTTCACTTTCAGTGAGGGTGTGGCCAGAATGATAGTTTTTCAGCATAGGATGAACCCCCACCAGTCTGCTGGAGACTGCTTTGAAAGAAAAATTGCTCATCTTGGACTTTGTAAAACTGTCCGGAGTTGACATGTGCTACCAGCAATCATTGTTATTGTAAGCTCCAGTCAACAATGCATTGTACAGTTATCAATGGATACAGACAAACTGCCATAATTTTAGATAACTGCATGACAACTGCAAAGCATTTGATAAATCTTGACTAGAGATTCTTCTTCTTCTTCTTCTCCTCCTCCTCCTCCTCCTCCTCTGCTGCTGCTTCGTTTTCTTCTTCTTCGTTTTCTTCTCCTTCTTCTTCTCCTTCTCCTTTTCCTTCTCCTTCCCCTCTCCCTCCTCCACCTCCTTACCCTCCTCCGTGGGTGGTTGGCGGGTGCTCTGGTGTGGTTTGCTTCTTCTTTCCTATGAAACGTCTATCATCCTTATCTCCCCTTCTTCTTTTTTTTGTTTGTTACTCTCTTGTAACACCTCTAATCTTCTGGCGCTCATATGACCTTATGCAGTTCCGAGCGCCGTAAAACCTCTACTAAAACTAAACTAAACAATCCTCTCCTCCTCCTCCTCCCCCCTGTCCATCTTCAGCATTCGACAGTCAATCATATAATTTCAGAAGCTCAACTGTTTCTGTTTCTGGTCGCAGCGATGGAACGTCTTGATTTTAAATCAAGCGCTTAATACAATGGAAACCATAAATAACAGGTCGGGTAATAATATGGATCTTTTAAATCCCCGATATTTCCTACTCTTTGTCTCTATTAAAAGTTATCGGCAATAACAGGGCCTCACCAGAGCCCAGTCGGTTATAGCAGGGATAAGGCTCGTTAACAATGTGTAAAAAGTAAGAGAGAGTAACACAGTGATGGAGCAAGCCACGCCACTGCAAGCACTCGCAGCGGGTGAAGCGAGAGAGGGCTGCCGTGTGCTGCAGACTTCGATCTAGCCTTAAGCCTAGCTACATAGGTGGCGTCGGTAGCCTAGCGGTTAGGCTACCGGACTCGTAATCGTGAGATTGCGGGTTCGTGGGTTCGAGCCTCAGTTTGGTCCGACGTTGCGTCCTTGGGAAAGGCACTTAACACGAATTTCCCATTTGGCTCGGTCTTTTCGGAGATGGACGTTAAACTCGGAGGCCCCGCCTCTTAAATAACCTAATAGTGTTGATAGGGGCGTTAAACCTATACCATTTCACAATTTTTCACCTAGCTACATACACGCGTAATGTGTCATGCGCAGACCGGCCACAGGGTCACGAGAGAGGGCTGCGGGTACTTGTGACAAGGGAAACTACCCATGAATAAATACAGCTGGATTAGTCCATAAATGCTAACTTCCCTTGCATTTTTGATTTAGCAGGGATCTGATATAACAGGCCTTTTTCTCTGGTCCCATCATCCCTCTTATATCAGGTTTCCACTGTATATGTCTTCCTCAACCAGACCTGTACACTACTCAATACATGTAAGCCTACTGACTACTAATAACATGCTTCAAAGCTGTCTCCACGACGTTACGTGACCTTCTTTGTGAACTTGGGGTGACGACCATTTCTCGACAATTGGGGTTATTCTGGAAGCGTTCCAGTCCAGTTCATTTCGAAGTTAAGACGCAATGTTGATCAAAAGGGGGGGGGGGGGGTCGATTGAATGACAGCCTACAAACCACGAGCCGTCCCTGTTTATCTATTTATACAGTAACGTGGCACACATACTTTCATTTCTCTGCATAGTCACCATATTTCTGCCTCCTCTCTTTGACCTTCAAAAGTTTACGAGTCCCATCGGTTAAGTTGAATTTCGAATGAACC